GCATCCATGCATACATGCATACATGCATACATGCATACATGCATACATGCAAACATGCATGCATACATGCATCCATGCATACATGCATACATGCATACATGCATACATGCATACATGCATGCATGCATGCACGTAGATAGCTAGCTAGCTTGGCTAGCTAGCTAGCCAGCCAGCCAGCCAGATAGATAGATAGATACTTAGATATACACAAGTATAGGCACAGGTTACAAGCCACTGCGCCAGAATTTGAAGTTTTGGCCGCCTCGCTATGTGCTGCCGTATGACATACCTGACGAGTAGGAGAGTGGCCGCCTTCTGCATCCGGCATGCATTCCAGCGCTGCTGCCTGAATGCCATTCGGCCTTGGAAGGTACGTACTCAGCCTCTTTCGTGCATTTCTGAGCTATGAAACCAGGAATGTAGAAAGGCCTCGGCCTAGCTTTGAGAGTTGGTTCACTTGTCCTCAATCTTCACATGACTTCTTTCCCGTAGCCTTGCATTGAATTTGCAGGACCGGGGGCGTGCTTATGAATCATCCGCAACCCATTATCATCACACTTGACAATAGTCATCCTGGCCAGTATCATTACTTCGGGAGCATCACTGCTGTGATAACCCGCGCCATCCTTAGCAGCCTCCCTCCTGCAAAGCCGAACTCAACTGACCGCAAGGCTATGCAGGTCTGTCCAAAGGACTGCAGGCTCGGACCATGAGGTTCGGGTCACAAGGACCACAGAAGTGAGCGATGTCTGTGGGAAGATCACCTCTAACACTGCCTATTCTGAATCCACCTACAGAGCACCAGGTGGGAGGCTGCGGGCCTTGCTCGCTGTAAGCTGCCGGCAGTTCTTGGGCTGCGCGCCGTGAGACGACAGAGCCCCCGTGGCCGTCAAAGATGCCGAACCTCGACAATGCTTTTCGGATTCAGGGCAGTAAGTAGCAGCTTTGGCCCCGGCTTTCTGTTGTCCAGTGGGTCCAGTGTTGTTGCCCGAGCGCAGGAATGCATCTCTTTCGTTTCAGGTCTTCGCAGCCAACGAGGAAAAAGGGCCGCAACCGGAAACCCGACCCCGACGCCTTCGTCAATCCTTGGTGGTGCCTTACATACAGTCTTCTTGAGAGTGAGTCCAAGCGAGAGTGTAGCACACACCAATATCAAGAGCGCGACCCCGACCCTACTGCTCCTCCTACTCGGCTACTCGTACTCTCACCACGGTCTCCTTTCGTCTTTACCGTGCTCCGTCGCTTCTTCGCCCAGGAAGGACACGGCATTTCCCCACTCGGGCCCGCACAATGCAAAGTTGGCGAGGCGATCTTCCAGGTTCAGGCAGACACACGAGGCGTCCTGCGCTCAGAGGTCAGGGGTTCAGGAAGCAAAGCTGTAGAAGTTAAGTCTTGAGAGCACTGCTTGCAAGAGCTTGCAGCTTGCTGGTAGGAGAAAATCTTCAAGCCTCACGTCAGTTCCTCAAAAGCCTGACTGCGTGGTCTTCGCGCAAACCTTCGAGCCGGGGTCCTCCATGGCTGGCCGCCAACCACGCATCTCCGAGGAGCACCAGGACAAACGGCCCCTCGAAGAGCATGCTACTTCCGGGTCGAATCAGCTGAGGCTCCCACCAACTCCGGCTTAGGAGAGGGAGGGGCTCTTCTGGGGCTTCTTGAGAAGCTTTCTTCGAACAAGGCCACCACATCTTCGCGGTTCGACAGCCGGCATTCAGCACTTAACGTCTGTGCAGATGGCAAATGGCTCCATTCGTGACATGGCTACAACAGCAACAACAACAACAA